AAATAATCATAACAATATACTGTATCAAAACCATGTGTCAGAATTTCAGAGTTTAAAACATCCCAGACTGAACGAATGATATGTGCATTGCAATCATACCGAGCTCTTCCCCTTTGCTACTGAAAGTACCTGAAACCAAAACTGAAAACTGTAAGGACGAAGCTTAGTGAGTCTCCCCAAACTACCACATGCCATACACATAATCACATAATAACATACAATGGGCCTTGCCCACTACATCGGACCCCACCCGACATCAGACGAATCTAGCATCAGGCCCCGCCTGGCATCGAACCGAAGTCCGACATCGGGCCCCGCCAAGCATCGGACCGAAGTCCGGTATACATATAACATATCAACAAACATATAACATAAACATACAAGCTAAATCCTTCCTCAGTCTTACCCTGACATCAGAGTGAAGTCCGAAACATATAACTAAACATTCCTCAGGCTTGCCCCGGCATCATACCGAAGTTTGGAACATATAAACAAACACATGCGAGAATCACAAAGACATCAAGCATACAAACGTTCCCCGGGCTTTCCCAGGTATCAGACCGATATTTGGAAACATATAGTTTACATCGGGCTAGCCTTGACATTGGACCTAAGTCCAACATACGCTAACATACATAAACTGGCCGACATTGGTGCCTTTGACCCGTTCCTACTGGAGGAAAACTCACCTCTCAAGCCAACAGCTGAAATCTCATGTGACGAATCTCTGATGGCTAATCCAACGACTCCCCGGCTATAATTTTCACAATAAACACTTAGTCAAAAACTGAGAATCCTTCTAAGGGTAAAATGACCATTTAACCCCTGGTCAAAGTCAACATTCTAGTCAAAGTCAAAATTTTGGGTCGACTCAACTCGCCAAGTTGCTCCATTAACTAGCCGAGTCCTAGAACCCTAAAATCGCGATCTAACTCGTCGAGTCACCCCCTAACTCACGGAGTTCCCTGGCTACTCATAGTCATGATTTTGTGAATCAACTCGTCGAGTCCCTTTACAAATTTGTCAAGTTCTACCTAAAACTGAATCGGGACAACACGAACCAACTCGTCGAGTTCCTCTATGGACTCGACGAGTTCCTTTATCTGTTTGGTCCATCTTAACAGATTAAGTCCCTACTCTTCAGATCCAAACCCCATACTTTATCGACATATTGGAAATGCCCTCTTAAGGGTAAAGTTTCCAACTTTACCCGCTAATAATCCTACTTAATGGGTTTAGCTAAAACTCTAGTTCTTCAGGATATAGATCTTTGTCCAAAAGTCTTATTACTCCAACCCAAAGCATGAAAACCGAGATCTAGGTCCTAGACACCAAATGAACACGTAATGTCTCAGACTTTACTTCCATACATAGCCTTTTGGGGCTTAAAAGGCCATAATAACGTCTTTAAGCTTGCATGGGGCTTCCATGGTCATAAAGTTTGCACCTTTATGCCATGAAACCCCTTCTAGATCCCAGATCTGAAACGTAAGTCACTTAGGACGTCCATTTCCCAAGGATTAAGCTTCTTGGACCAAACCCCTCATAAAGTGAAAATAAGAAGATCTAATGAACTAATAGACAAGTTAAAGACTTAACTACCAAAAAATGATGAGGATGGAAGGAAGTCTCTGAATCTACTATCTTATCCTTGAACCTTTTAGCTCCTTCTTTTTCCTTAAGCTTCAAGAACACACAAAGATCAATCAAAATGGCTCACAAGCTCACACAAAGATCTAGAGTTTTGTGGATTAGGGTTTGGGACTTGGAGGCTGGAAATGAGGCCATAAGGTGGGATTAAGATTCTTAAATAGGGTGCAAAACCCTGAAATTAGGGTTTCACTATGGTAGACCTACTCGCCGAGTTGAGGGCTCTCAACTTGTCGAGTAGATTGCTTAAAAACCCGCGTCCAATCTTGTTTCTACTCGACGAGTCTGGGGCTCCCAATTCGTCGAGTAACTCTACAAAAATGAATAAATTATAAATAAATGCATACCAAGAATCAGTCGTTACACATAGGGACCACCGAAAAGGGTCGAAAACTCAAACCCTAAGGGCTTAAATCAATAAGCACTAAACTCATGAGTCCAATCCCCAAAACACATATCTGACCTCCTTGAGCTAGAAAACCATGTAAAGTTGCCAACTTTACGTTTATGAATGCCTAAAAGAAGCTCTTAAGCTTAATAAAGGAGCTTAATGCATGTATGGGACAAATTCCTCACATAAAGCTTGCAACTTTAAGCATAAGAGGGCCAAAAAAAACTCAGATCTGAAATGAAAAGTACTCAAAACGACTAAGCTCCTCCAACCATCCAAAAAGGGACCAAAACCTAGAATAAGGAGATCTAAACATCTATAGATCAAGGTCCATACTTGATACCTCAAGGAGATTGCCACAAGTGGTGAGGTTTTGGATCTATGACCTTTATTCAAAGCTAGACACCTTTAAAATCCAAAGCTCCTTCAAATGAGCACAAAATCCACAAGAAACCACTCAAGACCTCAAGAACACCACCAAGAAAGCTCAATACTTGATTTAGGGTTTTAGATAACAAGGGAGGCTGGGAAGGAGGCCGATCAAGGGGACTTAAGGCCTCTAAATAAGGTGCAAAACCCTAAAATTAGGGTTTCCTTCCCAGCAGCCAACACGCTGTGTTGAGGCACCTCAACAAGCCATGTTGGTTCATTAAACTCTACGGCCAAGGACATCCAGAAACATCGTGTTGAGGCTCCAACATGTCGTGTCCCAAAAAGAAAACATAATTAACTTGGAAATAAATTTATACTGGGAAATCAAGCGTTACAATAACCTAGTGGGCCGACATTGGTGCCTTCGACCCACGACTATAGTAAGGAAAACTCATATTGACTACTGAAAGACAGCTAAACTGATCGCTGCTCCAAAAACTGGATCTACAGGTCACCTATACAATAAATAGTGACCAACCCTCAATTTACCACTCAAACTACTCTATTTGGCCTAAAGTTAAACTTGGTAAAGGATCAGAGTTAACGGTCAACGGTCAAATGTCAAAATCCTTATTAAAAAATCTCACAGCCTGGCATCACATCCTGCCCTCTAGTTGTTACGTTGTGACCTAATGAGACAAAATAGTCGAGATGGACCACTCTCACGTCATGAGCCATGAATGCTCATGTCGTGAGAAGCATTACGAACAATTTTGGAGAAATAAGTTCTTAATCCTTTCATACCAACAACCAAAACTTCCAGAACAACTTATCTACTCCATAACATCATAAAGATCGTGGTTTTTTGGACATGCATGTCCAACGCATGTCCCAAACACAAACTAGGGCACAAAAAAGAAGAACTGACATCAAAAATCATGCAAGAGTCTCAAGACTCAACCACTCTTCAGATCTAACACTTTATCAAATGGATGTTGGAGATCCATAAAGTTGGCAATTTTATGGATTCCAAACACTATATCACCAAATCCATGAAAGACAATGTATAAAAATCTAGATCTAAGCTTATAAACCCATAAAGTTATGATCTTGAGAACTCATAATGATCCAGAAGGTGTGGAAATGAATGATAGAGAGGCTTGAGTGCTGAGATGATGGCTAGTTGCTCTTCTTCTTCTTCTTCTTCTTTGCTAGAAATCACCACAAATGAGCTCAAAATCAACTATGGAGTGCTAGGGTTTCAAATGGGAGTGTTGAGAGGTGATAGAGGCTGGGGGTGGACTAACCCTAGCCCTCACTTCCTTTAAAAACATAGCAAATCCCCCAAAATCAAGGTTTTCATCTCAGACAGACCTCACGTCTTGAGTCATATGTGCTCATGTCGTGAGTACCAAAGATGATGCGTATTTGGAACATTCTCCTCATGATGTGACAGGTATCCCTCACGTCGTGAGCTAGGTTAAAATTTAACTTAATGAAATGATAACTTAATGAAATGACACCCACAGGTAACCATCTTATTTTTTTTTCATTGGAGAGTACTGTGAACCTTCATCTATTCAATGTTAATTTCTTTCTTCTGATTTTCAAGCACATAATTCAGGAGGACCATTTCATATATAAAGTTTCAATTAGAAATTGTGATTTCAACATACAGTTTGTATAATTTTGATTTTGTATGACAATTTGTATTTGAATTTTTAAATTATTGTTATGTAATTTTGATTTTGTATGACAATTTGTTTGTTTTTATAAATATTTAGCAACTTTATCCACCATAGTATAGAACAACAGGATAATATGACTATTTTTCATCATTTAGCACAACAAAATCAATCGGACGTGCAATCAAACAACATGGTTTCTTTTCCGATCAGTAAACTTTTCCGGACAACTATCAAATGGTTTTACTTTTCCGAACAACAACTATCAAATGAAACCTTAAGTTTCCTTGAGTTTATCTGTGAAAAAAATAAATTTTCGTGATTAATATATAAAAATGGCAAGTTTATGTTATCACACCTTCATTTTAGTGAACAAAGTATACGTATTGTCGTATTCTTCCTTTTTAATCATTTTACCATAAAAATGGATTAGTGGATGTGACTATATCATCAAGAATCTGAAACAAAATAAAATCAACTCTGAAATCTCATTTGTCAACAATTTAATTTAGTATTTGGAATAAAAAATGGATTGGTAGTTATCATTGATAATAATCTCTTTAAAATACAAAAATTAGCAAACCACCAACTTAAACTAGACAAAGGGGCCTACTTCTTATTTCTCACAACTTTATATATACAATTTTACGAATGAGTCAAAACACGTAGCAACGTTATTGTATTTATTTATATCCTAACTCTATATTAAATCAAAAGTTTAATAATTAATTATTTTAAAATATAAATGTAACACAAAACACACATAATTGGAAATCATAAACTGAGCACTCACGCATGACCTCCTCCTCCCCCTTTAAATTCACCCCTCCCTCCCAACACCATCATTACTTTCAGTTTCTCTGACTCCGACTCCGACTCCAACTCCAACTCTAATTCTGATGATGAATCACGATCGTCTTCTTCTACCCAGAACCAGCAGCTGCAAGAGCACCACCGCAATAATCCCATCAAATTACATCTCTTCCACCTCCTTCATTGTTGATCCGCCCTTCGTCAACGACGACAAACCCCTTGTGATCGAAACAAGGTCTTCCGTAGGCTACGGAGGCTGTTTACCAAGATTCGGTATCTCCATATTTCTCCGGTCGATTCTCAACATTGTATCAATCCCTTCAATCCTTCCCTCTTGCCGGTGGCTTAACTTACCGACCCAACTCTCACTAACGCCGTCGCCAGGACGGAAAGTCACCGGCACATTATTTGGAAACCGGAGAGGACACGTCAGCTTTGCGGTGCAGTATGATATGAGATCGGAACCGATATTTGTGGTGGAGCTGGCGGTGTCAACGGCAGCTCTTGTGAGGGAAATGTCGTCTGGGTTAGTTAGGATCGCGCTAGAGTGCGAGAAAAAGAATAAACGATCGACGGCGGCGCGTGGAGGAGGTGGGAACGCGAAGCTTTTTCACGAGCCGACGTGGAGCATGTATTGTAACGGGAGGAAGTGCGGGTACGCGCAGTCGCGGGCGTGCTCGAAGTCCGACTGGTTTGTTCTGAGTACGGTGCAAAGCATTTCGGTGGGTGCCGGTGTTATTCCGGTGGTGGAGGACGGTGGCAAAAAAAACAGCGAAGGGGAGCTACTGTACATGAGAGCGAGATTTGAGCGAGTTGTGGGGAGTCGTGACTCGGAAGCATTTTATATGATGAACCCGGACGGCAGTGGAGGGCCTGAACTCAGTATCTTTCTACTCAGAATATAATATATAGATTACATCACAGTTTTAAAGTTACAAACTAATCATTGTTTTTTGTTAAAAAAACATGAAAGTATATGAAAGTAGTGTCTTTTACAGCGGAGTTTATTCTCGTAATATTGTTTAAAACTTTGTATTGATTAATATTTTCGTGTGATGGTTTTTAAGCATGTTTATAGTTTTTGGATTGCGTTGAATATTTAGATTATTTATTAGGGTGATATCTTAAGCATTAACTTGTAACGAATTAAATTGCATAATTTTTTTTTAAAACGTTGATAAACTTTATAGCAATAAGCATAACAAAATCTTAGTATTTTAATGAGTAATTCAAAATATGGGACGATATAGAACCAGGGGTATTTTAGGAAAACATTTCAATTTTAAGTTTTAGTTAGTTTAGGATTCAGACTAGTAATTTTCCAAAAAACTCTTTTCTCCTATGTTCCGTTTCTGTCCTGTTAATTTTTTTTTCTAGCACAGTTAAGTTGTGTTTAATTCTTCCGGAATCAAGAGAATTGATTCTCAAGTTTTTTTTTTTTTTTTTTTTTTTTTTTTTTCCTGTTAAGCTCTATTTAGATTTCCTTCTTTGGTTGTAACACTCTATTAGAATCAAATGATTCCATTCCAACAATAACAACATTCATTCTTGAATCATGATTCAACATTCAAGATTTCAAGTATTCAATAATCAAAATTTCAAGGAATATTGTTAAACTGATAATGATAAAACATTAAAACTAATAAAACTAAATCTAATAAAATTGTGAATTTGTGATAATGATAATTGTCTAAAACCCTAATTAATAAACTATAAAACTAATTCTATAATTCATAAATCTGACCATAACTGTTTATTCGTTTATATGTGATTCAAAGTAATTGATTGATTGAGTCTTGATTATTGTTTCTCACTTCCTGTTAAGTGCATCAATTGCTGAATTGTTGCCCTTGAATATTGCTATCGTTGTTTGCCTATTTCCCTGCCTGAGTTGTTCACTTATAGTCGATGTGACGCTTGCTCATGCCGTCTTGTGCCTATATGACCTAATACTTGACTTTTCTGCATTGATTTTGGGCCTCGCCAAAACGAAATATAGTATAGCATTAAAAAAATCGGGTCCCTAAAAAATAAAGCCCTGTGCATGTGCACAAGTTGCGCAACCTCATCATCGGGTCTGTTATTAACCCATACATTATGAATTCTTGTATAGAAAAAAAACTTTATATTCTTGCATGAATTAAATAGGCAAAAAAAATGACAATAGAAATAGGTCAAACCTAACATATGCCTAATACCTAAAAATGTAAAGATTATCATTTATAAATTATAAATAAATATGAAACTACACCAGAAATCTCTGGCATGAAACTAATGAATTCAATTGTAAGTCTATAACTCTAATATATTATACCAAATCAAAGAGAATGCTCAAAATCTTTTCAATCTTCCTAATTATATGAAATGTGTTCTTCATAACTTTTGCTTACTTTCTAGAGTTAGGAACTTTCGAGTTGGATGCAACAATGTTTAAGAATAGTATATATATATATATATATATATATATATATATATATATATATATATATATATATATATATATATATATATATATATATTCAAATGTTCCTGACAACTATTATATGCTTGTATGCACCAATGAGAATTTAGGAAATAATAAATCGTTAAATAAATCATTTAAGGGTATTATTGTAATATTTACATATTTAATTATATTAGAATTAATTTAATATTTTCAGATTTTTAAAAATAAATGAATTAATTATCTCTTAAAACCCAAAAAAAATCTTTTTTAATATATGTTAATTGACAAAAAACCTTTATGCTGAAATTTGTGTGATTATATGGTAGATATTATTCTATTGTAATATCATAGACTCTCAGATCATGACCTTTATTCTATTCCATTCGGTGATCTAGATTTGTGCATTCTGACACACAATAATTAGTAAAATCACAATAACCCAAGCATATATATATATATATATATATATATATATATATATATATATATATATATATATATATATATATATATATAGAGAGAGAGAGAGAGAGAGATGAGAGTAATAATAATTACAACCCATGGATATTGTGGTTTCAAGCATGCATGTGGAAAAGAAATGAAACATCCCAAAAATCATGATAAAAAATTTAATTTTTAAACCATTAAATAAACCATAGTTATTAAAATCATTCATCAAAACATAAATCATAGTATTCCAACAACATATCAGAGTATCATATCATTTCATCAGAGTAAACATCTCAGGCTAAACATCATGGTGTGTACAATGTAGTCATCCCGAGCTCTTTTCTTTGCAACTGGAAGTACCTGAAACCAAAACTAAATACCATAAGCACGAAGCTTAGTGAGTTCCCCATACTACCACATATCATACACATAAGTACATATACTGGGCCCCACCCCTTCATCCTGCCCTGCCCGACATCTGATATTGTTCGACATCATTGGGCCTCGCCCGCTATACACATACAAACAATAACATATAATCATGCTAGCACATAACGATTCATACACAGTATTATATGTTAAAATCCTAAGGCCTCGCCTATCATGGGCCCCACCCACACTCTGCTAAAGATGAGATATAGAACCCCGTCCACACTCAGCTAGTGATGAGATACAGGACCCCGCTCACACTCACATTCCTACCAGGCACATACAAGTATTACAAAGACAACAAGTATAACTAAACATGCATTCCTTTATCGGGTACCACCCAACATCAAATCGTAGTTCAGAAACATACATATAAACATTCCTCGGGCCCCACCCGACATCGGAACGTAATCCAGAAGCAATACATACATTCCTCGGGCATTGCCCGACATCAGACCGTAATCCAGAAACATACAATACAAATACATGCAGGAATCACGAAGACATCAAACATACTAACATTCCTCGGGCACCCCCCCGATAGCGGATCATAATCCGGAAACACATAACATAAATACGGGTAGGCATTGGTACCATTTGTAAGGTCCAAAGACGGATCTTACCAGAGATCAAAAGCAAACAACAATCACATAAAACAAATTAATAAGCAAAGAAGTAACAAACCAAGCTTACATACGTTTTATAGCTTTAAACGTCTGATACAACTTGGTGGGAACTGTGAACACAAAAGGTATCAACAACCAAAATCGTCTGACACAACCCACTAATTATACACCCGAGACCGTGAAGACTTTACGGCCGTATGGTGTTTACGGCCGTAAACTCAGTTACAACCGTAAACTGACAATTAAAGCTAATTACAAACACACCCCCATCATTAACTGCAAAACCTAGACCAAACCACTATTCTAAGCCCTTCAATCTCCCCCTTGGTTTGGACTAGCCCAAGGTTATCCTTTGTTGACTACCATAACATCCATCTGCCCCATAGCTCCGTTCCACATGCATTTATTCAAAATTTTAGCAACCATCGTCGTATAAGCTTTCACACCATCTTCATAGATATCTTCAACAACCTTGATTTGAAAGTTACTGAGATAATGAATATCACACTTCCGAAATTGCAACAGGTCTCTTTGATCATAAAGTCTAATACATCCATTTTTGAGCTTAAGGACTGCACCAGAGGTGATCTCGTCAAAAACCCAACACTCCAACGAACCAAGAGACCCATCCTGATAAACTTGAAGCATTAGAAATTGTTTAACCTGTTTGGTCGCGGGCCACATTACCACTTGCAATGGCTTATCGGTTGTGCGATCAATAACATCTGGATGTTCAAAAATCACAGATTCAGCAATCGGCATAGAAGGAAACCCTCTTTTGACTTGGTCATCAAGAAAATGCTTAAATGGTGTTACTTTTGGATTGTTCATTAAATTAATGAAGGGAGATCGAGACAACTCCGTCAAATCAATCCTTGTGAATGAACTAAAATCATGGCTATCTCTGTATAACTCAGACTTACCACTCTTTCGTATCACAATCCACATTTTGAGAGGATCATGGAATCCCCACGAAGCAATGCCTGATCGATCCCCAAATGTATCTCGGAAACGAATCACTTCAAGATCTATCATAGTGATTAACGGTTCGTCCCACGAGGCATTTTGATTAAGGTTCCTCTTGAACAATAGTTGCCCTTTCTTCACTTCTTCCTCCTGATCATGACAAATGGTTTCTGTCACATGGGGAGCCTGAGGAGGCTCATCATCACCATGACCAGCAACACCAGATGATTGACCGACAGGCAAATCAACTGGGAAAGCTTGCACATGAAGATTAATCCTGTGTTCTTCAACGGATGTTTGATACTTGTCTCCAAAATCTTCTTCAAGCTTCTTTTTGAGTGCAAAATAGCTTGAAGTTAGCAAGTTGAAATGATCTTGTAGGTCATAGATCTGCTTGGACTTCAACTTTTTTATCTTTCGTAAGTTCAGCCACTTGCACCCCAAGACTTGATTTATCAGACTGCAACTCAGAAACTTGAATACTGAGCTTCGCATTTTCAGTGCGAAGTTCCATCACTTGAATATCTAGCTCAATATTCTTTTGGCTCAGAACTGATATTTCCTTTTGAAGACTAGAAAGAGTTAGGTTATCGCCCCTAGAACTGTTGGATTAGTGTCTAAGTCCATAACTATTTTGGTATGTACTTGACCTGATGGTGCATGGTCCTTTTGGGTTGCCTTCACCAAAACAACTTGATTGGAGAAATAAATAAAGAGAGAAAGGTTATTATGATTTATTAATATGTTATGAGAATAATATATAAAAGGAGAAATCATATTTGTTTAATTAATATTGGTCAATGATTAATTAGGAATTAATTTTGTGATCAAGTGTAATTAATTAAACTAGAAGGGCTGATTTGTAATTATGTGATAGTCACAAAATAAGGTAAGGATTATCTTATTATTAGGGTGAACGAATTTAAGGTGATAAGGCCTTAGAATTCGACTATGATAAGGATTCAAGGATTATCTTATGGGTTGCTTT